GAGTTAAGAAAAGTTTAAAAATGAGACAGAGGTGGCCTGTCTAACGGTCAGAGGCAATCCAACCCTGACCTCTCTCTCTGGACTCTAACAGGGTCACAATGAACACAGTCAATTAAGAGATGCTAAGCGAGTACTTTTCAGGCTGAACGGGCCGAGAAGCGGGCTAAAGCCGAGGGGCTTTGGCTTGTTGTCTTTAGGGGAACACACTATCGCAACCGTTGACCTGGGCGGCTCTCGGACAATGCGAGCAAGAATGCAAAGTATTCCAGCTCTAACAACAAGGGAGCAGCGGGCAGGGCACCTGCTGGGCCTCCTGTTCCCCGTTACACAACCCACACACACACACACACACACACACACACATTCTTGTACGTAACTCAGACTGACGACCAAGGTAAAGGACTCACAAACTGAGGACCAGTAGTTCTGAGGATCTTAGAAAGATTGGGTTTTCAAATTTTCCCACTAGGTGTCACACACACAAACACACACACACACACACACACACACACACACACACACACTATTTCCCGGTAATTACAATCTAAGATTACTAACTCTGGAAACGAGGAAATCAGTGTGTGTGACCCACAAAAACAGCCTCCGAGTGATTGTTTTTCAGGGTTTTTTTCTCTTTTTTATTAGATAAATGGACATAAAAGAGGAGGGTAGGGAGACGGACAGAGTGTGGGATCTTATTACTGCTCAGAAGTTTGCAGAAAGTGGTGGAAACGAGAGACGAAATGTCAAATTCTTGCCATGAACTCGGTGTGAGCCGATATTGTGACAATCCAAAGTGAGATGGCTTAATCCTGCAGACCATCTCAGCCATATTAAACATCATTTCTAGTCTCCACCGTGCCCATCAGCACTTATGCATTCAGTGATGAGCCATTTAACAGCTCCTCTGCGTTAGGAAACCCATTTTTCTGTGTGAATGTGCATCTTTAAGCGGAAAGCTTTGGGGTTTCTGTTGTCATGTGAATGAATGAGCTGCATTTGTGACAGCTAAAGGCGATCAGCATCAGCTCTGCACAGCTGTAACCAGGAGTGGGTGGGGGTGAATTTCTGGAAGATTCTGCAGGAATCATACCAGTGGACCCCATTTCGGTGCTTTATTGTGGGGGCCGTTTTTCCTCGGAGCTAGGTGGCTAGCCCTGCCCGGGAGGAGCGGCTCTGTGGCGGGGACTGCGGGCTTTAAGGTGAGTTTTACAGCCCCCAGTTCCGCCATCATGGTTCTTTGTCACCATCGGCATTTAAGGATGATTTATGCTCCTCAAGACGTGTTGCGTTGACGTGATACTGCATGCTAACATCTCAGAGGAGTCGCTTTCTTGCGGTGGCTAAGCTAACAGCTAGCTAGCCAGCTGATTACTAGCAACTCCTTCGTTAACTAACAGCAATAAAAACAAAAAGCATATGATTGTAGTCTGTATGAAGACGTTGTTATAAAGCCACCCAGGATTAAACAAGCTCCCGCTTATTTTAAAGCCTGCTTTTGCTTTCCTAACAAATGATTTAAGCTAGCAGTGTCGGCTAGTGGCTAGCGCGAATCTATGCTAACGGCTAACCATGCTAACTAACTCCCAGCTAGTCCGTTTGGTAAAAGATGGAGACTAGTCAGCACCGAGCTGTTTAGCACCAGTTTCCAGCGACTAATAAGCAGATCTGGACGTGAATAAAACAAAAGACTTGTGGGTTTATGCTCCCCCTGAGAGGGACTGGTGCTTTGGCTCTGGGAGGTAGTTTTCCTTTGACCATAGGGGGGGGACTTATCCACCAGGGGCTCCTCCCATAGAAATATTCGCCTTCAAACTCTTAATTTCAGCCGTCAAGGTGCATTTTTCAGGCCCCAGGTTAACCAGCATTCAGCTCAGATCCTGCTTAGGTTTGGTTTGGTTTTGAATGGGTCTGATATAAAAACAGAACCAGGTTCCATTGTAAGATGAAGCTCTCTTAGCTTTTTTAAACACATTTCCACCCACATCAATCAATCAATCAATCAATCAATCAATCAATCAATCAATCAATCAATCAATCAATCACTTAATTTTGGTAAATTGTCCACATTAAACACAAGAAACAACAAAAGAAAAAAAGAAAACAATAGACAAACCCACAGTTTACCAAAAAAGGAATAGGCCGAAGCAAAGGTTATTCTTGCCTAACCTATTTTTTACCTTACAACCTACCAGGATTTCTTCAAATTCAGATTCAAGTACATAGTACAGATATAGATCTACATAACAGCGTAAGATTTTATCATTTTACATTTTAAAGCTCTTTTAAAGTTCACCAAGAAAGGACATAACTTAAATTCATCATTCAATTCATTCCACAGTTTCCACAGTTACATCAAAGCCAGGATCCGGATTATGTTCCAGATCAGACATTTAACGGGACATTTAGCCACAAAATACATTTTCCCAGATATAATTACCCCCTCAGGGGGGAATATTTCCATTAGGATTTAGTAATTTCCCCAAACTCCTAATAAAGTCATCTCTGTGTTGTGGTCATGTCAAAGTTCAGCTGGGGGTCAAAGATAGATGATGAAAGGGAGTCATTACTCACAGAATAAACAGAAATAAGCTGCAAACAAAAGCACATTTGATCACAAAACAGCTACAAGTCAACTGATCCTGCGAGAAATGAACATAATGTGATTTTTAAAGGACCCTGGCTGCATTTGTCGGTATGCTTCCATCAGTTTTCCCTAAACTGTGAGGAAATCTAACCCCAGCGATATCATTTAGCATAATTTAACATCTTCAAGCGAAGATCACAGTGAATAATAATCAGTATCAGGATCAGAAATACTTTAATAATCCCAGAGGGGAATCATTTAAAAACATCCAGTCAAATTCTTGCCATCAAAACAATGTTAAAAGTCAGACAGAAACATGACAAGGACCCACATAGACCACTCAAATCCCTCTCTCCCTCGGCTGTTTTGACCTTTTTATTGCATTTCCAAGTTTAATGTTTACGGGTTCTGGCGTCTTTGACTCTCAGAGTGGAAGTTTTAGGGATCCGGAGACCAGAAACGCTGAGTTCTGTGAGATAAAACTATGAAAAATGGCTGATTATCGGTGGAATCTGGCCTCGGCTGGATGTCCGACTCCTCCTACATCCAGGTCGGCCATTTTGATTAGGTTATGTGACTAGCAGCTTTCTGAGGTGGAAACTACTATCTATATGAAATCGGAAGATAAACGATGTCCTAACCCTAAACTTAACCCTGACCCTTCATAATAGTGAGAAATAAATATTTTTTGGTTAAACTTGTTTGGACTTATTGTACAAACCTATTTAACATCCACTATTTTAACATAATATTATGGATAGAGTTTAATTCAGTGTTTGCAAGATTCATTTAATTATTTTTAAATTAATGTCTATATTGCCATGAAGCAATTACCATTTTCTTGCCTGGGATCTTCCTGTTGGTGACCTAATCAAAATGGCCGACTTGGATCTCCATCCTTGGCTTCCTGACTTACACAGATGGGAGTTAAAGTGCGTCATAATTGTTTCCTATCTGTTTGTCTTCCCTTTTAAATGGCACCTAAAGTAACACAACCCTGTGACCTCATTCTCACACATTTCCAGGGGAAAATCTTCCATTTTTTGGCTCTTTTCGGTGCTTCTCCCCTCCCGGCGGGGCTGAGGGGATGAGATCAGCCGGAGGGTTCAGCCTGGCTGAGCAGCTCAGGCTTTTTGTTCGGGGTTCGGCTTAATAATGACGACCAGCTCTGTGTTTCTTTGTTTCAGATCCAATGACTGAAACGGACTGATTCCACGTTCTCACAGCAAAAATGTCAAGTAAGGAGCGATCTAGTTATGGTTATTAACCCTTTAAAGCCTGATCCAAGAATAAAACAAAACAGAAAATTACTTTTTTGTGGTTTTAAGTCTTTATTTGGCCTTTTAACTAAATATGGAAAAAGAAAAAACAAAAATACATTTTTTATATTAATTAAAGCTTTTTTACATTGTTCATCTTTAGATTTCTGTTTTTTCTTTTTACATATTTTGTTAAAAGGCCAAATAAAGACTTCAAACCAAAAACAAGTAATTTTCTGTTTTGTTTTATTCTTGGATCGGCCTTTAAAGGATTAAAGCTTTTTACATTGTTCATCTTTAGCTTTATTTCTATTTTTTCTTTTTACATATTTTGTTAAAAGGCCAAATAAGGACTTTAAACCAAAAAAAAGTAATTTTCTATGTTGTTTTATTCTTGGATCGGGCTTTAAAGGGTTAAATCTTTTTACATTGGTCATCTTTAGCTTTGTGTTTCTGTTTTTTCTTTTTACATATTTTGTTAAAAGGCCAAATAAAGACTTCAAAGCAAAAAAAAGTAATTTTCTGTTTTTTTTTATTCTTGGATCATTAAAGGGGTTAAAGCTTTTTACATTGTTCATCTTTAGCTTTCCATGACTGATTATTATTAATTTTTCTTACCACAGAGAGACCCTCCTATGCTCCTCCCCCCCCACCTGCCCCGACAACTGTGAGTATTCATATGGCCTCAAAATATAAACCCACTTCCTCATTTTTAGCTTTTTTAGCTTCCTGGTGGCTTAATTTCTGCCAAATTCGTGTTTTGTAGAACC